ATAACAATCCCTTTCAGCTCACTAATGCCTATGATAGCCATCTTTATAGATTCCATTTCATTTTTGACAACTTCTAATTTTCCCAAATCCATCCTTAGTCCATTCCAAGTTCCAATGATGCTGTTGATACTGAGTCTTCTCACTGTGTCCAGGTGGGGGTCTCCAAAGCTTTATCCCAGCAGACTTTGCTCCATCCACGCCCTTGTGGTCCGCTCTGCTTTGAGAGGTGGCTCTTCTCAGTCATATTCTGAGTGCCTTCCGACCTGCGGGGCTCCTCTTCTGGCGCCTCTCTGACACGGTTCTGCTTCCATCTACGGGGCTTTCGGTATCTGACAGCACTTCAGTGCTAGCCATAAGGATTTCGCTGGCTGATCCCTCTCAAGTGGACCGCCGGTTCCTTCACTGTCGTCTGTTCTTAGTCTGGAAGCTCTGCTGAATCTTGCTCTCTTTGGGTCAACCCGGTGGCATTTGAAATAGCAGTGACATAGCTTCCAGCCTCACAGCAATACACAAGCCACCACCGTGGGTCAAACTGGCAGACAGATGGTGGCCACCTTCGGGTGAACGTAAATCGCCAACCTTTGGGCTAGCCACTGAGCCCATTCACTGGTATGCCACAAAGGACGACCGGCCCAAATCAGGCTCCTTTCTGCTCATGGGAGTCAAACCGGGCAATGACTGTGGGGATGGTGCGAAACCTGGCCAGGTGTCATGCCGTCACGACCAATGCGGCAGCACAGAACAGCAACGATGACCCACGCGGCAGCTGGAGACAGACACAGCGCCCAAAGACCGGCGGCACCAGCCGCAGGCTGCCTTGCTGTCTTCGGGATACAAGGGTTAAGAGCCAAGGCTCTGAATCCAAACTGAAATGGAAGAGAATCTCTTCTGTTAGCGACCGTCCAGTTTGGCCCAAGCCTGTGAGCAACAACACAAGACCGGGTCTACTCCTGCGCCTTTGGCATCAGAGCAACGCCAAAGTCTCCACTGACGGACAGGGGATGGTCCCACCTGCGGTGGATTGGCTGGGAATGCAACCAGGGTCTCGTGAATGAAAGAAGAGAATTCACCCACGGAGCCACCAAGGTGCCCTTCAGAATGTCTAAGCAAGGCTTTTTGGGGTGAGGATGAATCTGTCGAAACCTCAGGCGCACAATGAGGTAAGGTCCGGAGAACTAGCAGGCTGCTAGCAATAGCGAGAGGCTTCACACAGCACAAGACAGGCTTGCGGAGTGAGCTGGGGCGCAGTGGGAGCACAAACATGAACCACTTTTATTATTCTCCAGTTCCTGCCTGCAATTCATTTGTCACATTTCCCTGGGCTGTGCCTTAATACCTTGAGAAGGCTCTACAATCTTCCAGTCCTTCTGTATAATTTAAAACTCCAGCCTCATTTTATCATCACCCTCCTCATGACAGCCTTACCTCTCCCCGCTCCTCCTTTTTCATCCTAAAAGAGGGTCATCTCTTCTGGCAAGATAAGGCAGAGAGAACCTCTATTTCCAGCTCCTTTGTTCTGCTCCGTTTGAAGGAAAAAGGCTATTAATCAGATACAGAATTAGCGGGACATTGACTAAGGGAGACCGAAGAAGAATCGATGTGTTTGAATGATGGTGCCCGGGAAGTCTATGGAAAGCCCACGGACTGCCAGAAGGAGAAACGCACATGGCTTGGAAGCAGTACAGCCAGATGCTCCTGAGAGGCACAGATAGCGAGGCTTCGTCTCACAGACTTTGGACGTGTTGCCAGGAGAGACTAACCCCTGGAGAAGGACATCATTGAAGAGGAAGACCCTGGCAGATGGACTGATAGCACGGTTGCCACAATGGGCTCACACATCACAACCATTGTGAGGAAGGGTAGGACCAAGCCGTGCTTCCTCCTGTTCTACAGAAGGTCAAAGTAAAGGCGAACCCACTCAGCCCTTAGCAACCAGCAATCAGGTAAGGGATCGCGTGAAAGAACAGGCCATACCTTTTATCTTCTCTAAATTCCTGGGACTGACTTCATCTGTGGGAGAGATAAGGATCCCCTGTGGCCTGGCTGGGTAAACATTGGAATGCTCTCCACAAGGTTGGTGATTCAACCACATCAGCTGTTCTCTGGGAGAACATGCTCGTGTAGATTGACAGCCCCTGAAACGCGACCTGGGGTCACTGTGAGTCAGAATTGGCTTGGTGACAGTGGCTTTGGGTGGGAAGAGATGATAGAGAAGCTTGATACTTTCAGCCAAAATAAGGCTAGGGGTCAACAGTGAAACTGACAATCAGTTTCTCCTATGCAGCTTCAAGGTCATGTTTCGTCCCATGGTGCACAGGGTCATGCAGAACCAACTCGGTAGCACGTAACAAGTTCAGGCTGAGGTGGACGAAAACGAAAACACGCTCACAAGACCCAAAGCACAACCTTAGCATGTCCCACGTGACCTTAGAGAGCATCTCAAGGGCAGATCTGCTGCACTGAACAGTAATGACAGAGACCTGATGAGCTGTGATATAACAGCAAGGACATCATACATGAAGAAAGCAACAGGTCATTAAAAAGACAAGACAAGGTCAAAGTGGACGGAAGCTTGCTCTTGAATATAGGATCGCTAAAGTAAATGGGGGGGGGAAATGATTCAGTAAAAGAGCTGAACAGAAACTTTCAAAAGGCAGCTCAAAAAGAGAAAGTAAACAATTATAGTGAAATGTGCAAAGCCCAAAAGACCACGCTCAGCATATCTCAAGCTAAAAGAAATGAAGAAAAACCCAAGCCTCAAGTCGAAATGTTTAAGGATTCTACAGGCAAAGCCTTGAGCGGTGCAAGAAGCATCAAAAGAAGATGGTAGGAATACACAGTCTCCGCACAAAAAGAATTGGTCAATGTCCAAACATTGCAGGGGGAGCAGCAGCCAAGAACTGAGGGTCCTGAAGGAAGAAGTTCAAGGTGCCCTGAAGCCGCTCCCACCAGCCTCCTGGTGTAACAGAGAAGGTGAGTGAGTGCCCAGCTCTGTTTGCTGTTCACATCACACGGTGCAGGGCAAGCGTGGCTGGTATTTTCTTCTCCTTATTCATGACTCAGTGGTGCAGAAGTGGGTAGTAGGCCTCATCTAGTAGGTGTGGCTGGAGGAGGTACCAGTGTGTCTGGGCCGTGTGGACGTAGTTGCTGTCTCCGGTCATGTGGGACATGATGGAAAAGGAGAGTGGGGGGTGGGGGGAGAACAATGACAAATAAAATAACATTACAGTAAAAAAAAATCTTTAACAAGCAGGAAAAAGCAGGCAGACAAGTGCAATGAGAATTTCATAACCCCGTCTTCACCACGTGGAGCCCGGGCCTAAGCCCTCGTCGATTCCGGGGCCGAGGGAGGTTGAGGGCCACTCTGTGAATCGTGGCCTCCCTGCCGGGCCCCCCAAACTCTGAAACCCGCTGAGCACCGAGAGTCGCCGCATTACACGTGCATGCGCAAGAGATTCCTGGCCAAGGAACAGAAGCAGAACGGCCCCATACCCCAATGGACGGGCATGAAAACTGGTGCCTAGATCAGGTGCCACTCCAAGGGAGGACCCTGGAGAAGAGCCAAGCTGGGTCTGCCGGGAGTCCCCAGGGATGCCACGCACGGCCACATTCACCCCGGCTCCCTCGAGGCCTGTCGTGGCGAGTTTAGGACTTTGCCACCATCTGATCCATTGAACCTGTCTTGGCAAATAGCTGGTTTCTTCCTTGGCTTTTATGCTTCTGCATCAAGAGCTTAACACTAAATTATGTAAGGCCGTTGGTTTGAAAAAAAGGAAAAAAGTAATAACCAAAAGAAGGAAACAGGGAAGGTAAAAATAAGCATGAAAAAGTGTATGCTGGCTACCTGGGCAGCGTTGTCAGCTTTCCACGCATCTGGGCACACAGGGGTGTGTGTGTGTGTGTGTGTGTGTGTGTGTGTGTGTGTGTGTGTGTGTGTGATATGGAATGAACGATTCTGCCCGGCCTGTACACTGGCAACTTCAAACAAGCCAGAGAGGCACAGCGTCAAGTTCACCCACGAGTGCCGGCTCGAAGGGGAGGGCTGTCTCATTCGCTGCCTGGCTGGTGTCTCCAGGAGCGTGACCTTGGTGACACGTCCCTTATGACCATCACTGACTTTGTCTGGGAAGACGCCCGCACACCGTGTGAGCAGGTCGGTCTTGTGCCAACCACCACCCGGGCCTCCCAAAGCAACGCCAGCCGCGAAGGCTACCAGCCTGGGCAGCGGCTGAAGGAGGAGTGTGGAGAGAGCCCTGTGCGCGATGTCGCAGAAGTCACAACCGTTCTGGCCACTCCTGGGATTCTGATATCGTTGACCTTCCTCGGGAGGGTGTAATATACCGGATGGATGCTGCTGAGATCTGGGGGAGCGGCAGTGTTTCTGCTCACGCTGCGAACAAGAACCCAGCGTGAACTTCAAGGACACAGTGGTGACTGGTAAACGGCCTGTCTTTCCATGTTATGTTGTGTGCATGGGCATTTTGCGTGTTTTTGTTTTGCTTGGCTTTACTTTTTATTGTGCCTTAAACATCAAGTTTATTGTGCCGTTCTTACATTCAAAACCCAACCTCTCCTCCCAATGGGGGACAGCAGAGGGAAGGATTTTCACAGTACCTGCGTGCCTCCCCACCAAACTTTCCCCCTCAAACACTCAGTCCATTTGTCTGTGGTCCACGGAAAAATGCAGCAAGGGACAAGGGCTGAGGAGAAACGGGAAAGTCTCTCCTTGGGAGAAGAGGAAAAGGGCTAGAGAATTTGATACCCCTACCTCCCATGCCCTAGGAGAACAAGTCAAACAGTCCATGCCATCCAGCCCAGCAGGCTGAGGGGAGGAGAACGTGGCAACTTCAGCACAGCTGGGCTCACTGCTTAGGTGCCAGAGGTGGAGGAAGGAGACTGAGGCAGCAACACAGGGAAAGCTTTCTCTGCAGATCCAAGAAGGAAATTTTTTTTTTGGAGCCAGAAAGGAAAGACCTTGGGAGACTTTGCTCTTCCCCCAGGTTCTCAGGAGCAGCGGGCAGCTTCTTCCTTTTTTGTTCAGGAGACCACTTAGTGGCTAGGGGAAGAGGCCTTGCGGAACAGGTACACCGGACGCTGGAAACCTTTGGAGGTGTTTTTGGGTGTGGCCACCAGTTCATAGCTGGAGAAGCCTACTTCTGGCGATGTTAGGTAGGAACTGAACTGCTCTGGCTTCAGCTGGATTCGATAGTAGTTCTTGTAGATTGCTTCAGTGAGAGTCTTTCTCTTGCCGTAGGACGACCAAGGTTGGGGCTCTAGGACCAGGATGCCACCAGGGCGTAGGTGCCGGTAGATTCGGCGAAACATGCGCTCCAGCCCCTCATCTCCCCAGTTCAGATGTACCCACTTGGTGAGACTGAGGCAGAGTACCACATCATACTCAGGTGCTTGGGCCTCCTGATTTTCAGCAGGCAAGCCTGTGCCATCTGCTTATCATGCAGGCTGGGAACCAGCTTTGCTCGAACCCAGTGTCACATTCGTCCTCATACAATCCAGCGTCTCTGCTTCTGTGTTCAGCGGACAGTTGGAATAAGTATGATGACAGGATACACCCACAGCACACACACACACTTCAATTTCTGCATCACTATCTTTAGCGATTTTGTGCACACATTTGAATAATAATGATATTTATTTGATCTCTTTGTATGCAAATAGATATTATCCTATCACAGACAGCATTGTTCTTCACACTAGGTCTTGAAATGTCTTTTAGGACAATGAAATTGATGCCACTCCTCTTCAATCTATCATTGTGATTCAAAATGACCAGTGCCCATCCATCAGCTCACTACTGCCTAAAATATCTATCTTAGTGTGTTCCATTTCATTGTTGACAACCTCTCATTTTCCTAGATCCATACTTCATACATTCTAATTCCAGTTATTCATTTATATTTACAGTGATTGCTTCTTGTGATAGTTTATTGTGCCAGCCTGGCTGATAAACACAAGTGGGATTAACTGAAGGGCAGAGAGATAAATGGCTTGGTGAGCCTTGCCTTTCTTGTCTCTCGCTCTGTGATCATCGGACCAGTGCACGGCTGC